CTCCAAGCAAAGCCCGGTTTTCTATAAAACCCGCTGTAAGTGAGCTACGCCTACGCTATTTTTAATATAACTTTTATTTAATTATAGTAACGTTATTAGGAACTTATAATAAATACTTGGGCTATTATTATGGGTTATATAAGTATTTTTTTGACGCTTATATAATAATAATAATAATAGCTAGACTATTAATTAGTCTCGACGAATAATAAACTAAACTCTAGTGGTAATAATACTAGGTTTCGTCGAAGAAAAATTCTTTTTAAGAAGCGAAGCGCTGTCTGAGTTCGGAATCACCACCTTTTCCGGTGAGTGCATAGTTACCTTCAACTTACACATAGATATGAAGTATTTTATATAAATTACGTGCTATGTGTGCATATTATCTGAATACTTGCTATCTATGCTAGATGAACGTTGTTATACATGTTTTCAATGATTTAAACTGTATATGTATTTTATATCTACGAAAATGTTGGGGTAAAACATGGGTAGATGTAATAGGTGATGTGTGATAAAATGATGAGAGGCCTCGATGTTGTTGTTGTTGATCCAGTCATCTAGCGGAGTATAGATGACGACCACGGACTCTTCTAGACAGTCCAGTGGAACACTAGCAGGCTCGCAACCTGTAGGTGTTGTGAACGATGTGTTCACCGGTGTACTCCATCCCCCACATGGTTGCCTATTAGGACATTTATTGCTGAGGAATCCCCTTAGCAGTAGTGTCCGTCCCGATGATAATCCTTAGGCTAGGTCCCTTATGATAGGTGTTTAGGGACGTAAAGTGAGGATAACGGGAACGGGTAATCGGGTTATTGTTGATTGATGAAATTAATAAACTTATTTATTGTGGGTTGAAAACCCTATGTGCTCACCAGGCTCCCAAGCCTGACCCACTCAGTTTTATGTATTACAGGTAGTGGCGCATGAGCATAGGTGTGATGTTTTGGACGAGGGATTACGGATATAGGCCTGTAGATATGAAATAATGTAGTAAGGCTTATATTGTACTGTTTATACTTTTGATCTGTACGAACATGACATCCCGAGTCTTTTAATGAATACATTTCTATGGAAATGCTTTTGATAAATCTTTATCATATTATTGTTTTGGGACAAATTCCGCAAACCTTTTATTAAAAGATAACTCTGATTTTGAAATAAAGTATAAACAAAACCGGTCTTTTCTGGCCGTGATTTTGGGGATGTCACAGTTGGTATCAGAGCATTAGTTTAAGCGAACTAGGAATTTGTAGGATTTCTAGACTTAAACTTAGAATGCTAAGCGATGATTGTGAGGTGTGAGCACTAGCTTATTTTAGGAATTGTGCCTAAAATGCTTTTATGTGCTAAATGTTTTATGCATGATATGCTGTTATTTTGTTCGGGATCTATGGTCTGTTGCCGACCGGATCTGGAACCTTATGTGTTTAGGATTCTAAACGTACGACTACGATATTAGAACTAGCATGTAAACGTTTCGGAGTGATAAGGACGATTTAAAACGTCTCTCCTAAATAAAGATCTAAATCCACCTTATTCGGTATATAGATCAAGATGGTAAGGACCCGTAGCGGAAACGTAAACGCAAATGGGAACGGACACCAACCCCCCGTGATCGAGCAAATACCAGTTGTGGAAGCCGCTGCCGGACCAATAACGATGGCCGGAGTGCAAGCGATGATCCAGGCAATGTTGGATCGTCAAATGGAGGAAACCAGGCGTTTGCTCCAGCAAAATCGAGAGGAAGCGACTATTCAGCTCGAACAGCCCGAGTTGAACGAAGGGCAGACTGAAGAAGGAAACTACAGTGGGACTATTGGTCAAGCCAACCCACCGATAGTTAGGCAAAACCACCAGGATGGAGGAAATGATGGACGTGGATGCAAATACAAGGATTTCATGGCATCCAAGCCACCGAGTCTATCCGGAAGCCCGACGCCGGTGGAAGTCATGAACTGGATCTCTGAGATGGAGACAATGTTTGAGAGTTGCGAGTGTAGCAATAGGCAGAAGACTGCTCTTGCAGTTCCTCTATTGAAATCTGGAGTACTAAGCTGGTGGAAGCTATTAGCTGATTCAATGCCCAAAGGTGAAGCAAGCAAAATGTCGTGGGAGGATTTTCTGGTACAGTTGAAGATGCAATACTGCTCTGAGCAGGATCTTCTGGAGATCAGCAACGAATTCCAGAATCTGAAGAAGGGAAGAATGAGCGTTACTGAATACGCTGCAAGCTTTACTGAGAAAATGAAGCTTGTTCCTCACCTCGTCCCAACTGAACTCTCCAAGGTTAACAAATTTGCCCTCGGATTACCAGCGGACTTCGGTCCAATGGTCAAGCAAACTACCACTCTGAAAGCTGCCATCTGGGCTGCTAAGAATGTGGAGACCCAGATACGAGAAAAGGGTCTGGAGAGAGCGGAAGTGGGAGAGAAACGGAAATTTGACGGATCCTCGAGGTCCGGTAAGAAAGGTAGATTCTCGAAGTCTAGTTCGAGAGGAGGAGGATCAGAAGCAAAGTGGTGTGACAAGTGCAAGAAGAAGCACTCTGGGAAGTGTGATGGAGGGTCACTTGTTACAAATGCGGAAAGCCTGGGCACTATGCCAACGAATGCACTCTTAAC